CCCATTTCCTTGTTGAGTGAAAGAGAACAAGGGGGACTCTCGCGCGCCGCCGCCGCCGCCGTCTCGTCTCGGGTCGTGGTCGTGGTCGTGGTCGTGGTCGTGGTAATACGTGTCTTCGACACGTCCGCGCGGATACTATCTTTTTAGAGAAAATTCTTAAGAAAGAAACAAATGCAACAGCTTTTGAAAGAATTTACTCATTTTCTGAATCGCATTGCGATTCTTGGAATCGTGTTGCGATTTTCTGAATCGCGTTGCGATTCTCTTAATCGCGTTGCGATTTTCTGAATCGCATTGTGATTCTTGGAAGATCGCGTTGCGATTCTCTTAATCGCGTTGCGATTTTCTGAATCGCATTGTGATTCTTGGAAGATCGCGTTGCGATTTTCGCATTTTCTTGAATATCGCGTTGCGATTTTCTTTTCAACGTTGCGATTTTCTAAATCGCGTTGCGATTTTGATATCGCGTTGCGATTTTGTTGGTCATTTTCGCAAATCACAAAAAAGTTGGTTAAAATCGTATATTATAAGTCATTTTCGGTCACTGACGCTTTTTTCTCAATAATAAATTAGATTTATTTTTAAGTGTAGTAAAATATTAATTAAAAATTTAATATTATTTTGTTGTTTATTAAAAAATTAATTGATTATCAATTTATATCTTATTTATTATCTATTAGTAAATTAATAATTTTTTTGAATAAAATAATTTTTTTAATATAAGTACTAAAAAATTATATTAAAAAATAACTCGTTAAGGTCTCGAGTTGAGCTCAAATTTATATTAAATCAACATGAATCGAGTTTTTTACCAAACTGTGATTGAATCAAATTCAAACTATTCACAAACTGCTCAACCCGTTAATTTGAAGTGTATTTTCACTTTTGTTTATATATATAAAAGAGATTGAGATTGATGATGGGAGCCTTGACTTTTAGCTGCTGTTTTTTAAAAACCAAATCCAACATTTGAAGGTATCATCTATCAAGGAAGCTGCTGGAGGTCTTTCACGAGAGCTGCTGGAGGTCTTTTACGGAAGCTGTTGGAGGTCTTCCACGAAAATTACTCTCAACCTGACGTTAGGGGTAACCTACTACTTGTCTCCCTCTTACTCCATTACATATGAGAATATGATTTTGTTGTTATTATTGTTATTTAGTGTAGAGAGGTTAGATGTGTAATTGGAATTGCTATTGATGGGATAGGATAAGGTGGATAGGAGTAGTACAAATGATTTTTGGTTCCATTTTTAATTTGTTTTTTGTTTCTTTTTTTAAAGTGGTTTTTTTTCATAACAATGGGCCATGTAGGAGGTTCTATAGGATTGTGTTTTGTCCTGATCTTTTTTTATTTTTCTAAAAAAGACAAAAGCATAAATTACAACAATACCTGTCACTGTTCGAAGGTTCTTTCATTATTTGAAAACTAAAATGGAAGGAAAGAGATATTTTCTTGAAAGAAGTATTAAAATACTTGCCAAAACTCAATGGGTTATCTGTACACGTCTTTAAAATAAATAAATTGATAATTAACACGTATATGAGTAAAGCGTTCGATAATTTTTTTATAGGCTGTTTAAATGTTTATTTGTTTTTTATTTATTAAATTAAATAAATGAATATAAAAATATTTTTATGCTCATATAATAAATAAACGGACACGAATATATGTGTGTTTAGTTGTTTATATTCATAAATAAATTCTCTTAAAAGCTTGTTTATTGACTCATTTATAAATTTATTTATCGATTCCTTTATTGAATTCCCATTTTTCTTTTATTTTTTAAATTGATGAACGTATGATGAACTTTTGAGTTCAAACGATGAAGTCCATGGAATTTAAGGAGTAAGTGACAAAATTCACCAATATGTTGACGAATACTAAACGGACATATTGAGAATATATAATGAATTATTCATTAAAATCAAACAAATATGCTCACAAATACTAAACAAACCAATCACAAAAACCTTAAAAATAAGCAAACAAACACGAACAAGATATTAAAATTTCAAATAAACATAAATCAAATACTTTTAAAGATAACTAAACAAACATAAATATAATCTTATTTTTCTAAACTCGATCCATTTACACCAACCGATAGTCACAGGATTTTGCACCAAGTGATAATCACCAACAACATTCATATAAACCATTGCTTTTAAAGGTATAAATAATCAATGCAATTATGCAACCGTTTTGTAGTTTATATAATATGATACCGGTTCATTGAATAATTAAATAATAATTTATTAACGATGAATGTTTGGCCAATTATATCATCAATACAATTATAAAAGATTCCATAATTTATAATTAACGCCAAATCTAATATAATGTGGACCCCCTTGGCCTCTTCCTTATTCAAGAAGAAAAATGTAGAGTAAAAAAATCCCCAAAATTGAAGGAACCTTTTTGCCTAGAGCAGTAAGGGCTGATCCTTCTTTGGATCATTTAAACCAAGCAACTGTTGCATTGGCGTCCGCTTCAATAAGTAGCGATGTGATGTGTGTCATTTTATATCATGATAGGAAAGCACCTGCCGAAAGAGCCGTGACTTTATGTTCTTGTAATGACTTTAATTAAAGAGGGGTAAATACTCTTATATAGCTGTCTACCATTTTATTTTGGGCAACATAATAATTCCAAACGAATCCAACATTAATCTCTTGAAAAGCTATTCTGTTTTATTAAACATAATTTCATGTAGGAAAATTATCAAATAACTTTTTCTTTTCTTTTCTAAAAAATCATTTTCTTTATGGGGAAAAAAGTAAGAGTATGTTATAGTAACTTGGAATACGCACATAACACGGGGATGATTATAACAAGTACATTTCATAATTGGGGTACAATTAATAGTTGAATTAGAAATACAGTTAATCAAGTCCATGATGTATGGTAAAGAATATTATTTCAGTTTTGATTGACTGTGAATTTCAATACTACTTCTAAATTAAGATGAGTAAAACTTGATTAAATAAAAAATAATAATTTTAATTTTTTTATAATTTAGTTTTTGATTTATTTTTTTAAATTCTTCTATCATTTTAAGTTTCTTTCAATTAAATTTGAACCATACACTCTTAAATTATCCCTGTAGCTTCTGTTTGTTTTCGAAAACCAATATTCTATTTTTTTTAAATTTTTTTTCATTCAACTTTGATTGATCCCTGTGATTTTTTGCAATTATTCATTCATTTTAAATTCTTTTTTAATCAAATTTAAATCGCATGCTTATGGATGAGCATGAGATCCATACTCAATGAATTTTGATCCAACACTATAGGTTTGGTTTTTTCTCTTTAAATTTTGAGTTAAAATTGTGTCAACTTTTTTATTAAAAACAATCTGAGTTGTGCAAGATTGAGATTTGAAGTTTTTTTATTGGAAAAAGGAATTTTGTATATAATAATATATATACTAATAATAGGGTCTCGTTAAAAAACTTTTTTAAACCTAATCGGTAGGAAAAGAATGCACCCGATCCTTGTGGGAACAAACAAGTACCAGGCATAAATTACAACCAACTATACAAAGCGATCTGGACAGTACTTGATAACCACTTACTTATGGCTTATGGCTGTCCCGAATTAATTAACTACCCGACCCGGCCCAGGTTAATATATAGGTTTTTTTAGTTGTTATCAATGACAATTTATTCATTTTTTATTCATTTTTTATTTATTCTAATTTTATTCAATTTAATTATTTGATTGATTTTCTTTTTACAATTTCTTCTTTCCATTAATTCTTTTTGACCCTTCACAATTTCATCAGTAATTTGTTCTAAATTTAAAAAAAATATTATAAATATATTTTATAATTTTATATATGATTTAATTTATTAAATATTGTTACAAATCTTACTTGCATGTGTAAAAAAGAACGAATAAATATTTCTATATCTTTTATGACTGCATAAAACTGTTTAAATTCAAACCAATATATATCATAATATTATAAAAGAAATTACAATTACATTTAAAGAGAAAAAAAAGAACAACTCAATTTGATTTGAATTTTATAAATTCAATTTGGCTTGAAAAATTTTCAAAAAAAATTTAATTATAAAATAAGACTCATCAACTTAACTAACACAAAATTTTTTTTAACTCAATCGAATACTCTCTTATACTCTAAATAACTCACGCCCTAAGAAAAAAACTACAAATATAGTATATTGAATAGTAATGACAATCTTATATATATTGAAATTAGTAATTAATGCAACACATTATTTCCAATTGTATGGGCCAATGCATGCATATAAGTTTGGGCTTTCTAAGTAGACTGATGAGGCCAGCAAGTCCTTTATACTCTGAACTTTGCACTATGTCCATTTAAGTCTGGCGGGGCTCCCAAAATGAAAATGCTCAAATTTGTGTAAATGTTTTTTTAATGGTAAGAAATAAATATAAAATAATATTTATTTATAAATTTCTTAATCAATTGATAACGTAAATATTTTGCAGATGCGATAACTCAAAATCTCTATAGAGAACAAATTTGTTTTAACCACTGAAACTATTTGGTAGGTTCAAATTGTCTAAATATTAGACACGTAAGTCATAATAATAAGTTAGCTTAAGTTTATACGACAATTTTTTTATTTATTTTTGCAGAAATATTCCAATTATTAGTTTAGTTGTATATTATAATAATTAATTATAATTAAATAATATATACTAATTAATACTGTACTCGTAACCTCAAAGTTCCTAAACGTTATTTGACGCTTCACACTTGAAACAATCTTATTCAATCTCCAATCTCTGGATGACCTCTGAATTGGACTTTGTTTATCCTCGGTGATGATTGAATTTCAAGGTTATAAACTCCAATTTAACACATTATTATTTTACTTCAATTTCAAAAATTAATAATAACCGACACCATGTAAATTTATTCTTGGTTAAACTATTTATGATAGTTCCAGTTTAAATAAAAATTATGGCAGCCAAAAGGGGCACAGCATATGGAACAAAACACGGGCTTTGAACATTTTAGAAATCAATTCCCGAGGTATTCAATGTGCGTCCCTCGTTCCATTTACTTGAGAAAAAAAAAGTAGTAAACCAGCTTGAAGAGCCGGTTCTATTCCCCCTACTGTCATTTAAGATAAATTTTACAAAAGCCAATCTCCAAGCCTTTGCTAGGTGTAGTCTGAACTAAGATTGTGAATGTTTCCTACTAGCGGAAGGAGTAGACTTTGTTTCTTCGGTATTCACCGATCTAGGACTCTCCGATGTATCGGTGCTGCTAATTTCTCCGTTTCTTTCCTTACTCGACAAGAGTTTTGAGAAGATCTTTGACATTGCCAGTCCTTTCATTCTACTTACAGAAGCTCTTTCAACGTCGTTCTTGGTTGCATCGTTTCTGCTTCCATCGCTGCCATTACTGCCTAATCTCAGATTACCAAGCTCCCCTTTCAAAGCCTTGATATCCTCGGCTGTTGGCACCGAATCCCAGTCCTCTTCGGTGTTTGTAGCGGTGGACCTTGAGCTGCTGTGGGACCCTCCGGGAAGAAGGGCTCTAACGGACCCCGGAAGATCAGGGGTGCTATTGCCGGAGGAAGCTGTGGCCCTGACTTGCACAAAGAAGAGAACCTGCACGACAACACGCAAGGGAAGCCTCTCATTTTGCACAGCATGCATGCAGGCTTCAGCCGACAGCTTCTTGCAGTCCATTAACCTGCATATTCTCTTTCTCTCACTTTTGCTGATTCCAGGGTGTTCCTATATTGATAGAAGACAAAGAAAAGCTTAAAGACCCGACTTTCCAACAATATAAACCAGAGTTGAGATACTAGAAATTACCTTCAGATACATGTCTATGGCGCGGTAAAGTCCATCATGAGAAGGTCTTGAGACGGAAGCTATATGCTCAGCAAGATTGACGAATTTAGAAAGCGGTAAATTTGGATCTCCTGCAATTTCCGCTAGGTAGCCATCAATTAGCTTTGCAACCAACACTTTAGAAGCATCTGGTCCAAACTTGGGACTTCTAGTGCCCTCATTGAATTCCTTTTTAGAGGAATCGGTTGAGAAACGTGTGTCATAAACTCCTCGACTAAGTTGTGAACTATGTCGACATCATATATCGTTGCTTCTCCAGCCGGAGATCGAATCAAGAGATCAGTCACTGTTGCTTCGGGGAGCTGCTTACTGATTCTCCTTGTCAACTCATTTCTCTCCATTTCACCGCAATCCAATAAAATTGCTGCTCTTAATAATCTAAGCAAGAAGCTACATGAAACAGTTCCTTTCTCAGTTGGGAGAAGCCACACAATGGTCTCCACCAATGAACGATACTTTATGATATCGTTATTCGGGATCATACCCTTACTAAAACCCGGCAATCTTCTCAGGGCATATGCATGTACTGCTTCTCCAATTACATCACCTGAAACTCTTCCCTTTGCTTTAATTGTTGTTATCACTCGCTTGTATAAATCAATATGAAGCTCACAGAGATCTTCTACCCACCAGTCCTTTGGAACCGTTTGTTGTTTTCTTACACCATTCCATTGAGGACTGTTTCCGTTCTCTGATGGGAGCTTTTTCCTATTATAGGTGTATGACCACTCCACCAGGGAAGTATCGATTGAAGCCTTGGAAGCTATGGAATCAAGGCTGCGGCTGATCACCTTTAATTCCTCGGACCATGCAAGTAGAGATTTTGTTGTTTGAAGAACTGTGATGGAATCTTTCCAGCTCCTGAATATACTTGAATTGAGGAAGACATCAATCTTATAGATAAGGTTTCCTTTCTCAACAGTTTCATACATTTCAAGGTACTCCGCTGCACAACGAGCTGCAACAACATTGTATGCGTTGAGAGTCACTGTCATGCCATAACAAAACTTGGCACATATTTCGAAAGCTGCAGGTCCACCAGGTATGTCCTGAATGTGGGTTTCATCTCCGATCTCATCATTAGATGTTGCAACCAGCTTTTGCAAGCGTGCACTTTTTGATAACAATGGAAACTACAGGAACAATATAGCCAATAGATGTTAGCAATAAAAAAACAAAAAGAAAAAAAGAAAACCGTATGAACTAAAAGAAACGGCAATATATAATTATTTACATCTCTTATGCAAATTAAAACACTGTATCCTTCGCATGATGACAGATTGATACGGGCTCATACCTTGTGACAATAGAATTTCACATCCCCAACGTTGACGATTATGTCGGTTGCCAACTCGGTTGCAACATACCTGACATTAATGTTTGCTAGGACATATCAGCAAAAAATTAAAGCACAAATAATTACTGAACTTGAATGTAGGAAAATATGAGCAGAATTATGATAAAACTTTGAAAAGAAAATCAACATATCCCAAATTCCCAATACACAAGTATTACACAAAATCAAAGAGTTGAAGCAACATAATTTTAAAGTAATAATGGGTTTTTAAGGTCAACTTGAAGCAACACATTCGAGAATTCCTGATACATCTGAAAAATACGTATAGAAGTTTACGAGATGCCTCAAAACCCAAAAGCCCCATGAACACTTACACAACTGATGCTTACCAAATATGCTCAACAGAGAAGAAAATTTTGAAGGGAGGACAAGTAAAAAAAACGTCAATAAAAGTAGATAAATGATGCCTTTCCTAGACATCGAGAGGGGAAAAAAGAAAGAACTTAAAATTGTTAGGTACCACCATAAAGTAAGATCTCAAGCTCACCTGATACTGTCCCCATCAGTCTGAAATGAATCAGGCTTGGATCCCAGTTTCATAAACTTCATCTTGCTAAACAAATATTGAAAACTCTTCCCCACTCAATATTTCAGCTCCTCTTTGATCTACAAATATTCAATCAGAGCAAATCAGTAACTGATTTTAAAAACCTCGGAAGGGTAATGGATCAGATGCAAATCATGTGCATTTCTTAGTATTACTGAATCTTTTGACACAAAATAAGGCCACATAAGGGGAGGGAAGAAAAAAAGAATAATACAAAGTGGTCAATTGACCGAGAAGAGACCCCAAGGAAGAGGGTTACTTCCTCGGTTGGTTAAACGCCAAGTAAAAGGACTCGAGGGTGAGCAAAAGAGACATGGACAAACACATGCTCACAACATATATAATTCTCAAAAGCCAGACACCCCCCACTTGCCCAAAACTGACACCACCGCCCTTTATTTGTTTATCTTATTGTATTTTTTTTTCTATTACCAAGAGCATTTTTTGTCCACAGAGATCTCTATACCCCAAAACCCACAAATTGCACATTCCTTTACAACTCATCTCTTAAGATTTTAAACCCTTTTTTACTAACCTGAAGGATAACATCAGTTGAAGAAACCAACAAATTAGTGGACATGGAGAATCACTTTTGGTTTTTGAAGGTTCCTAAAGGGGGAAGAAAAGTTTCACTAGCAATCATCAATTCCAATGAAATTGCTCCAAACTCTATCGTAAGATTCTGAAAATTCAGAAAATGGTACACAGCTATCAATTCGGGAACACAAATGTTCTTTTACCAACACAACGGCAAGATCAAAACGATGAATGGACACTACATAGACTCAATAACACAAATAAAGGCATCACATCAACAAGATCTTGTGTTCATTGTGAACAATTTCTATGTGGTAATAACAAGAGAAAAAAAACTAAAAGAACAAGGAATACAAATCTATCTCAAACTAACGCAAAACAAAGTGCTTGATTATCATAAAGAACGTGAAGAAGAAATGAAGATGTAGAGCATTAGAATCTGAGCATACCTTGGAGGGATAACTAGAAAAAAGAAACTTAAAATGTCCCAAATCAGCTCTCAGGTCCAAAATCAAACCCGCTGAAAGAAAAAAGGCCAAATCTCAGATATGTTCCTAACCCTCTCTCTATTTTATCTCCTTAGAATCAGCACCGCCGTCACCACCACAAGATCTTTTTACCCTCTCTTATCCCTCGTATATTCATATTTCAACCCCCACACTCATTCAATTTAAAAACCCTAACTTCTTTTTTTTATTTTCTTTTCTGAATATATAAATAAAAACCCAAACTTGGGCACACTTCCTTTCTGGGTTTTGCAGAAAAAATGTATCAACTTTTTATAATTAACCTTTGTAAAGCAAGAAACTTTGAAAGAGAAAAGGAGAGAAGAAGAAAAACAAAAAACAAGGACCACACCAATGGTATGAATTCAATCTTTGTTTTTGGTATTTGTTTTCACTGTCTGCAATTGATAGAATCCAAATGCACGCCAATTCTGACATGAACAGCTGTGCTGCTCCCTTTATTGAATACAAACTTCACTTTCACTTGGTTTTAGTGTGGTGTGTGATGAAAACAATCCTCTGTATACTAGATAACGACCCATCCATCCCCATCTCGTACTTTGATAATAATGCTATCCATCTCATGAAATTGCTTTATTCTTCATAAATTTATTCATTTTTTAATTCAAAGTTAGTAATAAGTATGAATTTTAATTTATATAAATATATTTATTTTAATGATTAAAAGTTTTAAAATTTAATATTTTAAAGGTTAATATTAAAATTTTAAAAATAATATAAATAAATCATATAAAATAAATTTTATATAATATATATGGACCCAATTAAACAATAATAAATATAAATATAACGAAATATAGGTATTGTTTTCTCGTGACATGGTACAAATTATCGTGATATAATGATATGGGCCTTGGCCCCGCTCTGGGTTTCACGTGGTTAAGTAATGGCCCTTCTTTTCAATTTTGAACACCTTTCACTTTCATGCTCGCCTTTTTATTTTATTTTCTTCTCTAACAATACTAAATTTTTATTTTAATTATAAGCAATCATGTGCAGAATCATATAAAAATAAAAATTATATATAAAAATATTAAAAATAGATTTAACACCACTTCAAAATAATGTTAATATTATTTTTAAAATTCTAACACTACAATTTAATTTTTTTTAAAATATTAATTGATTGGACCCATCTAAGCAATGCTTAGGATTGGTACAATGAAAACTAATTTATATAGAAAACTACTTGATACTCGATTTGAAAAGCTCCTAAACCACTCGAAAAATAATATATTAATTTTTTTTAAAAAATATTAATAAAAATTTATACTTATAAGTTGGTTTTTAAATGCAATATAAGATTTTGTGTGCTTAAGATTTAGATTCGAGCTAAGTCTAAGAATTCTAAATTTAAGATTTTTCGAGCTCGATTTAAACTTTAAATTATTTATTTATTTTGAGTTTAAGTCAAACTTGACAATTTTAAGTTCATGAACTTTTGAGTTGAGTCGAACTCGAATTTAAACTTTTTAAGTTGAGTTTGAATTTAAACTTTTTAAGTCGAGTCAAACTCAATAGTATTCAAACTCGACTCAACTTATTTACAGCCCTAGGTAGTGGGATATAGTAGAGGTCATTAAGACCACTAATTTCCCTATCTTAATATCAAATATACTAGATAATGAAGCTCATTACAGGTAATCAATAAATTCCTTGACAATATTTTATATTATTGTTTGTCTAATCATGGTACTAAGTGACCACAATCTTTTATTCCCGTCGCCTAACATGCAATGCTCCAATTATATATTCAATCCAATGTCACAATTATATATTATTCTTTTCAACACATCCCCATAACTATTCTTAGTTTTATTAATAGTATTATCATTGTTTTTGCATCAATATTCTCATCACTTGCATGCCCATCAACTTCTAAATTCTTTCTTTCTCTATTAATTCAATTTATACCTTTGAGATATGCACACACACCATATTTAAAATAAATTACAATAGACTCACTTTGTATGACATGTAGGAACTTTAATATTTAAGTTATTATTATTTTTTGTTAATTTTTTATCTCTAATATTTTTATTTTTATTTTCACTTTCATTTGACTTAATTTTTTCACCTAAACAAATGGTATATTTCTCACATAATATCATGTGACATAATAAAAAAGTACTGCTTGATAAAAAAATGTAAAAAGTAAAAGTATAATTTTTTATTAAAATCAAATATTTTTTAAAGCAATATGAATTTTTAAAAATATATTTGAGAATATTCTGAATCGTTTATATATATTTTTTTAAAAATCCAAAATTTGTAAAAATATATACAAGATTTCTCATATACTTTTAAAATATTTTTTCCAAAAATTTTTTGATTTTTTTTTTAAAATTCTGTACGTTTTTATTTTGTGAAAAATAAAAATCAACTGGATTAACATAAAAACGATAAAATACAAGGGTGTCCCAAGATCAAATGTATATAGGGGGTGTTTGGTAAACAACTGGTAGCTGATTCAGTAGCTGGTTTGACCAACTTATTTGATTAGTTAATTTTGAAAAACAAATTTAATTAATTGTTTATATAGAAGTGCTTGGTAAAATTTAGATGATAGTTGATATGTGTAAAATGACAAACAAGAGTATGATATATTTAGTTGTTAATTACATATATGTTTTATAATACTTTATTCTTTATTGGGGTGAAATTATTCGGATAAAATGTTTTTGACAAGGAATTAAAAATTCCTTAAGAAAATTAGTGAATATTTTTGAAAATTTTGAATATATTTTTGAAAATTTATTATTTACAAATATTAACATTGTGAGATTGATACATACTATTAACTTTGTATAAAATATCAACATTACATTTTTTTACTTTCATGTTTTGGTGTATTTTCTTAATTAAAATATATTTGAGAATCTACAACTAAAAAATAGAATAATAAAATAAAATTTCAGCTTAAATATATTAGGATGAATGCTATTTCATTATATTAGGTTTTATGGTAAAGATGTAATTATGAAAAAAAATAAGTTTAAATATGTCATTTAACATCTTATTTTGCAATTAGCTCTTCCAAACCGCTATATTTTCCAGCGTTTTTATTTTCAGTTTATTTTGCACAATAAGATCTTTCAAAAATGTGTTTATCAAACACTAAAAATGGAGGATTCAACTACCAATCAACTATTTATACACAAATAAGCTAAAAGCTCCCTCATAGTAATTATTTATATTCAAGTCAAATATTCAACATATATGATTTCTCTATTTTCCAACAACTGTTTTATTTTTTAAATAACCATTAACATTAAATCTATTGATTGATTAATTTGGATCGAGTACTATAGAAACGGTGACAATCCTTTTAACTCAATTTACTCTAAATCATATGTTTTATTTTTTAAACATTGAAAAATGAAAACACAGAGACGTGGCTAGCTAGATTTGTTGCCAAAATTTAGCATGAATGGAATCTATGCTATGTGGGATTGATTGTCGATGAAGTGTAATATTGGATATATAAAAATAAAAATAAAAATATTTCCAAAGATCCAAACTATCAACTAGAATTGGCATTGCATGTTTAGAGTTATGGTTAAGTCAAAAGCAAATCATTCACGCAAAAAACTATTCTTGCCATTCTTCCTGAAGACTCAGAGGTTCCACACTACAACTTACAAATAAACTAATTATTTTCATTTTTGGATTAATACATATTAAGAGCTTGTTCTTTTATATTTAACAGATTATGATTTGACGTATATATAAATATAGATACATAAATGGACAAATATGTTAATAATAGAGAATAATATTGTTCATGAAAAAAGCATACGAGCAGAACCAAATATGCCAACTCGAAGGATAAAAAGGCAAGGATTGTGGATGTCAAGTCTGTGTTTTAACCTATTTGACCCATACCACGTGTTCTGGTCCATATTAACAGTTTTTGCCCTACATTATCTCTACTTTATACCACCTTTTTTTCCTTTCCAAAATTACAACATACCATCTTTCCTGCTCGACACCTTCATGCAGGGGACCAGCCACATACACCGATACAACAAATGTTTCTGACCCTTTCTTTTCCTAATTTTTTAAAATAATTTAAGATGATTATGAGATAATAATTTTTCAACCTCTTTTTTATATAACTGTTTTAATCTAATATTTTTTAAAAAATAATATTTTTTTATATAAATTAACGTAGTTTGGAAATTATGGCGAAGCACATGGCCACGGATTCTGATGGTCTTGTTAAATGCAGTGGGAAGTGGTTCTAGGTTGAGGAGGAGCGTGAAGTGTAATGATGAAGATCATGTGGTCCAAGTTTTGATAACATAGAAAGTAAAGATTCATCTCCCCGACACGTTGAAGTAAAGATAAGTTTGATGGCTTTCTAGATTCATAGTTTCAATGGGAAGAGAAATAAAATACATCTTTGGCATTGGTGGTTCAATGGAACTGCCATTTTCCCTTTCCAAAGATTCTTGCTCATATGCAATTCGGCTCTTAGGGTCTTAACTTTATGGATACGAATATGATAGTCAAAATCAATTTAGAATCTTTTCAACTTCCAAACCACAATCATGATTGCATTCTTTCACCTATTTGGACTATGAAGTCTTGAGATTAGTTTAACCCCTTCATGTATTTGTCACTGCTAATCAAAATAAATTATATTTCTTTATTAAAAATACACTCAAAGTAATTTTAAAAAAACCATGTATATGCTTTTTCTAGTTATTTCTTTTGTATAACTATTAGTATCCGATCTGAGAGTGATTCTTCCAATTTAATTTATCTTATTCGATCATAAATGATAAATTCAAACTTCAATTTTATTCAAGGAGTCTAATGCCTCCCACTAGATCAAAGCTCTTCTAGTTGTTTTAATTTATGTTTTTATATATTTTAGTTATTAATCCGTCCGTTTATATGTTGTATTAAGAAACTCAAAAGTAATCAATGGGACACTAATTTTTTTTTCTCAATAGAGGGGCTTTTTTTTTGGTTTGAAAAAGGAACAAAACTAACTAAGCTATGAATAATCAATCCATTTACAGCATTCCAACCAAACAAGATGATTGAATCTTGAGATACTGAATAATAGAATTTAAATTCTATAGTATTATAAATATTATGTGTAAATATTATTCAGAGTTATTGTATTTCAAATTTAAATGTATATTGATTATCGATTAGTTTATTTGTGAATTATAATTGATTCTAATTTTAGTTATATGAATATTGTAAATATAATTCTATTTATATGTTGATATTAATTAAATTTTTTTAGGTAAAAGGGTAACTTTTGCCCCTTCAGTAGACCCAATTAATCACTTTTCAAAGATAATTCTCAACC